GCGCCTGGTGCAGCACGGCTTGTCTGCAAGGACAGCGGTGTGTTCTGTTTGGCCGGCATCAGCCTGGAGCTGGGGCTGTGGTTCCGGATGTTGTTGGGGCCAAGGGTGGTCCTCTCAGGAGCAAGAATCCCCACATGTGGCTCCAGGCTGTATGTGTGAGAGAGAGAGAGAGGCGCGATCCCGCAGCGTCCACAGTCTGACTGTTCTCCGCGCTCTGTCCATCTGTCCAGCCAGGCCAGTGGCAGCTGCCTGTGTCCAGGAACTGTCTTGATGGAGACCCTGACTCCACCCGGAGCCCGGCCCTCCCATGTGCATGTGCGTGTGCGTGCACGTATGTGTGTGTACGCATGCACATGCATGTCTGAGTGCATGTGGCAGTTAACAGCACAAAGGGTCAGCAGGCTGGGACAGGTCCATCACGGCCACGAGGCTGGGGCTGGCGACAGTGCTCCCGTCCGGGTGCCGTGGAGGCCACGGCGCTGTCCTAAGAGTGCGGTGCCCCGCGAGGCTTCGGGGCGGAGCGGGGATGGGGTCGCGCCCAGGGCTGTGTGAGCCAGGCCTCATCCATTTCCTCCATGTATTTCTCGGGGGCCCTCTCTGCAGGTGGGGGTGGCTGGTCGCAGGATCCCATGGGGTGGGGGGGCTGCCCCCGCTGCAGGAGCCTCTCCCCCCAGGACACTCGGCGCCTCCGGGCATCTGCCACTCCCGAGAGCTTCGTGTCACAGGTGGCTAGTGTGTGTCATCCCGGTGGCCGTTACCAGGCCGCCTTCCTGGGTGTGTGCCCCACGCCCATCCTCCGTCGCTCAGCTATGCTCCGGCCCTGCTGGTTCCCGCCCGGCGGGCAGGAGATGGGGGGCGGGAGCCTCATTATGAGGGAGGTTGGTGACCTGTGTGTGTTTAGGTCCTTCCTCTTCATTGCATCCCTTTATTGTGGTGAAGTATACATGACATAAACCCTGCCACTTGGGCCATTTTTAAGTGTGCGGTTCAGTGGCATTTACGTATAATCACGTGGTTATGTGGCCGCCTCTTGGCCACCAAGGGAGGGTGGGCGGGGGGACAGACTGGTCTGTTGGCGGGCATACGCATCTCCCCGGGGTGGGGCAGGGGAAGACAACCTGATGCTGTTTTAAGGCTGAATCCGTGGCTTGTCTGCGGGGTCCGGCAGGGGCTCTGGGACGCTGGGTGGACGCAGGAGACTTCGAGGCGGCTCCCCGAGCGCTCTCTCTCGGTGCTTCCCTCTAGGCCGGTCCGGGGACCCTCATCATGGCCGCGGGAGTCCAGGACTTTAACCGGACAGAGTCTGATCGGCTGAATGAGATCAAAGGTCACCTGGAAATCGCCTTGCTGGAGAAGCACTTCCTGCGTGAGTACCGCGGGGGGGCGGGGGGGCGCAGGATGCCAGCGTCTGTCCAGCCGGTCGGGACAGCTCCCCTGGACTCCTGTGGACAGGTGTGGCCCTGTGTGGACGCCCCTACACGCCTCTCGCCTCCCGAGTCCTCGTGTCCCTCTGCTGCCCGCCAAGCCCAGCTCTGGCGGACGGCTGCTCCCTGGGGCAGAGGAGAGAGCCTCGGGCGGGAATGCAGCGTCCGGGAATCGGATCATCCCAGTGAGCCGGCGCCTGTGTCTCCAGC